AACAAAGTAATTTTTCAAACGAGCAAGCATTATTTCTGAGTTAAGCTGATGAGGGGGCTTTATCGAACGTGCACGTCGGCAAAACAAATGGCTATTCGGCGTATATAATTCTCCTATATTCTATTTGCGAAGTGCATGTGTGTAGATACACATGCATACATATATATCAGACGGAGAGGCAGAAATTATATCCCATATCCGGCATTGCAAATGAGATAATTTCCCGAGTGTGATGTGAGACGTTATTCTCATAATTAAAAGTTGAGTTTCTAACTTACGACTATCTAACTGCTCTATAATTTTTCTAATTATTCCAGAAGGCAAGTTCCGTTTTATGGACGCATACTCGATCGTTGACCTCTTCCATCTATTTAGTAACATTCAATATTTCACACGCCTCGCGAATAATTCTCATGTTCTCTTCTGCCCATAAAAACTTTATTCGCAAACGTAGACGTTGCAATGACATCGCTCTGTATCTGAAAAAGTAGAAAGGTAATATCCGTTCACTCCGTAGCGGTAATGCGAAGAAAACTTAAGCTTCTACTGAGTATACTTTCTTAAAAATTGGTGCTTTTACCATGGACGATGGAATCGATGAAGCTAGTGGAAATTTCTCTGTTTCGTGCTGAAATAACGTTAACCTGCTTTAATATCAACAAAGTTGTGACACATCTTAGAGATTATCCTCGTGAGAAAGAAGAAAAGTTAAATAAGAAAAATCAAGTGTGTGTTTCATATAGAAACAGCTAAATCTTTAAGTTCTCTCTTTGTCTCTTTCTCTCGCTTTCTCTCTCTCTCTCTCTCTCTCTCTCTCTCTCTCTCTCTCTCTCTCTTTCTCTCTTTTCCTCTCATATTATTTTTAAAAAGCTCAAATCTATCTTTCGTCTGAATTGTGGAATAACATTATTTAACTTATTTAATTACTTTTAATTACATTTATAAATTATAAATGCTTAATTTTTATATATCATAAAGATTAACATAAAAATTTGGAAAACTTGCTTTCAAAGAAATACTCGAATTATTTCCAATTTTCTATTCAATATTTTTTCATTTATTAACGATCGCCGCTCGAAACAGATCTGATGGCATGTGGCGAAAACATGAGAAAAATACGAGTCGCGATGCACGTACGACGAAGAGTCGTAAACCATCAGCCGTAAAGCCCAAGCATTTACGAACGCACATTGGAATCAGAGTCTTTTCACGAGAAAGTTTTTTTCACACCGTACTCACAGCTACAACATTTCATTCAGAAAATTGTAGTTGTAGTGAATTAACACTGAATTTTTATCACAACTTGTACAATATATGCTAGAATATACATATATAAGTAAAAATACGTATAAATGCATACAAATAAAACATAAATAAAAATTTTTGCATAAAAATGCATAAAAATTTTTTAGAACAGAACTATAAAAGTTATTTTATTATCTACTTTCTCTTATGACTGTAAAATAAAATATACACCATAATTCGTTAAGATAACGTAAGTTACATTCTTACTTAATTTAGTCTTCAGATTATATTAATTTAATAAAATGTTATAAATCTATCATCATAAATTTAGGATGAAAAATATTTAACGTTCAAAATTTTTTAGAGCATCATGTGCGTTTCAATTTAAAACGGATAGTGACAAAACTAAATGATTAATCTAATTGGATTAAGAACCTATAGTGCAGATTGTGATGTCGCTTGTAGTAGTAAGAAAAAGGTTGAGATCTTATAAGTCGTTCTCTTGTCCAACGTAATAACGAAATACAATAAATAGCATGTAGTTACCAGCTCTCTGGCAAACCTCCAGGCTGTTACATGATTCGTCGTCGAAGGGATATAAAAGGGATATAAGCTCAAGGAACAATAACACATTTGATCTAATCGTAAATGTTATTCATGAAAAGAAATAATATACTACCAGATTTTTGTATTAAAACAATCGGAATTTAAATAGAATACAAAAGTTTTTCTTATAAATGTGCTGAACCAGCTAACGATGCAATAGAAATTCTGTAAAACTATATTTTTACATCAATTTATCTTTTCACAGTTTTATGTTCTTTTAGAAAAGCTCAAATCCATTTTTTTATTGTTAGAAATATATTTTCTTGCTTCTAAATATATGTAATAATACATACAACTAAATCGACTTCCTGTTATTCAAGTAGACATATTAATCTTACAGATATATATCATTTTTTTCATTCTTATAAATAGAAGGTGCATTGTCCCTCCAATGGTTTATTAATCCGAGTCATGAGTCATAAGTGTAAAAATACGCAGCTGAGTGTCGGTAGACACTCTTATCATCAGCGGAAGGATGAAGATGAATATCCTACAACAATTAATAACTGTTACTTTCCTACGATAATAGAAATATTTGAGGAAAAGCGTCATTGAAAGAAAACAGTCACACTCTCTGTGCGATCATTAATAAAATCAAATTTAATTCAATCACAAAATGAATACAATTAGAGGACTCAAACAAAAATATATTAATATTTCAGGAAATTTTCAAACCATGAGTTGATTCAAACATTGAGTCTGATAAAAATTGTTAATAGAAACAAAGTGTACATGATTATGAATTTTTAAACATCAAATTAACATAATTTTAACTTTGAAAAAATAGAAGATTTTATGTCGCAAAAAATTATAAAAAATTTTTTATTCTATAACTGTAAAAAAAGTAAATAGTATAATAGAAAGGAAAGTATATAATAAATTTTGTAGTTTTAATTTAAAAATTCATATTTGTTTATTTGTTATATTTTCTTATATACGTATATTGTAGTATAAATCTATTCTTAGTATATACAGAGAAAGAGGTCAAGCATTACATTGTACAATGTTTATGTTATATATCTATTTTAATTTAATTGAATTTGCAACAAGTCAAGCATGAAAACTTTAAATTGTGAGATTATTCTTGAAAGTCGTTGACTTAAATCCTGTAAAAAAGCCTTCTCATTTCCATTATAATTCAAGTAATTCTTTCGCCGCTTCGGTTATCTATAAATTGATTAGCAAAGTCGACTTTAACTGATGCGTAAAGCCGATTAAAACGCAACATCGGAAACTTGTTAATCTCGTTAGAAATGTGCAGAATAGTAGCAGTATAGCTGAATTATAATTCGTGAAAAGAAGGGCGAAATTACAACGACTATAACTAGAGTTCGCGCTTGTTTCAGGCTTCACAGGCGCAACCGTTCAAATTATTTCCTCGTTCTAGAGAAATTACTATCGTGCACTTTTTGCTAAGGTTCTTTGCATCTTCCTGCCAACGTTATCCGATGGCGACCGGTACGGCCCTTCCGGTAATTTGCTTTTTCCCCTCCTGGTTTACTTGGCTCCTTTCTGCAGTGGTGCCCACCACTCTTCTTCTTCCTTGAAAATTTAATCGCGGAGCCGCGACGTCGCCTTTAATGCGATTCTTCGCCGCGTTCCTCCTTTTACCTTGCCTCGTTTTACCGAAGTTTTATTTCATGCCGTCGACATCCGCCAACGCGAGACTTTCTAAAAGAGCCATCCGCGTCCGTTGCGGTTAATAACGGCAACCTTTTCCTGAGGATACTCACTAAATCTTAAAGAAGAAAAAACACTGATGTTTTGCGGTATTGCCGCATTGGTTAAATATCCAGCCAACACGATCGGAAAAGTCAGAAGAATAAATCGATTTTCGATATTAACGAATGCTATTCCAAGGACTGGTTAGCGAAATTAAATACGTTCTTCGGTTTGGAGTGGAATCACGGTCTAAATTTTGCAATCGTAAGCTAGGATCCAGGAACCAATTTCGACTTCTACATTCAATTTCGTCTTACTTCAACTCTTCGTTCAAATACGTTAACATTTTAAGAACGCTTACAACGTCGAACGAAGCGTATAATATGATATTCAGCCAGTCGTGAAATTACGAGATACTACAAGAGATTCTGAATCATAATTTTTATGAAAAATCTCATCTTGGATAATAGCGAATGTAATATGACAAAAGCGTACTTGTCCTACATGAGATCTTACTTAACTTTATGAAGTACGAAATTACCATTTATTATTAATCTCATACAATTTAAATGATAGTGCAATTAATAATTATCGCATGAAATCGACATTTTACAATACTCATTTCAATCATAAATAATATTAGAAATGTTTTATCCATCATTTTTGTTTATAATCGTAGTTAATGTATAAAATAAATTCTAATATTACACATATCACTCATTTGCTACAATGTGCAATGACATAATCAAAAATCAAATATTCCAAAAAATAAATTTCAATGTTTTATTATTAAAATGTTATGATATTAATTTAAAAATGTAATTTTTTAATAATGTTTTGTTTTGATTATAAAAGAATAAAAATATGTATCTTTTTCTTGCATCTTTTTAAGTTTCCATTCTTTTTGTACAAGCAATTAAAAAAAATGACACCATTTTAGTTATATCATCGTTGTAACAAATGAGAGATAAGATAAAATATATTTACAAAAGGACACAATTAGATTAATCATCATTAATTTGAATAATTAAAAAAATATTGAGTTGAGTCTTTATTCTAACTCACATTTAGTCGTATTTCTAATGCTCACGCTGCACGAAATCAACAACTCGAATTACTGTCTGCCCGTTTCACTTTGAATCAAATTACTTAGCCGCTGGTGGTACATCGGGTCGTAATTGCGAAGGAAACTTCTCAAAAGATGCTTAAGTTCGGGAAAACTTTCTTAGGCTCGTTCTCAAATTTACATTTTCTGTGTTCTAACGAAGACTTTATCAGTCTACGACGACTTTTACCGATGCAGTGCCATCACCCTGGTATAATTAAACTTGTCGCATATCCTTTCGGAACGTCGTATCCATTATTCGAGAATGTAGCGGTCTCAAGTACTTCATTACGATCTATGTCGACACGTTTCATAAAATTTCATTATTTCTTCACAAAGTTATCGCGGTTCGTTAACATTGGGACTACTTTCTGTTGAGCAGGAGCGAACGGATGCGCCGGACAGAATTGGCCCTGGAATGGTAATAGCGGCGCGGCGATAATAATGGCTCTCATGACGGCTACCTTGTTCCTGATGATGACATCGCTGACGATGACGGTACCCCCGATAACGAATGTACTACCGAGATGCGAGCCGACAATCAGCAGGTAGCTCGCGGGCATCCTCAAAGAAGATATCGCTGTCTGATCCGATTACGTCGTCCATGTAAAACCTAGTAGTCTAGGGCTTCCAGTTATATATGTTACTATGTATAGAATAGATAGTCGAATAACAATGATTTTTATTCTCGAGGAGCCTATGAAACGGAGAGAAATTGGTGAATCGCTGGCGGATCGATGCGAGACTACGCATAATTTATATGCAGTTACTTTTAAACATGTCTTTTGATGTAAATTGTTGATCACTAATAAAAAGTGAAGAAAACAGGATAGAACAGTGTCCGAGACATAGGCAGGAACAATGATCACTTAAAGCAACGAGATGAACGAAGAAATTGTTACAAATCGAGGGATCAGCTTCGTAGCGATCAGAATTAGACTCGAATGTTTCAATAACGAAAGAACGGAGAAAAAACGGTGAAAATTTGAATTTTTTTACGTTTTAATTTAAATTATTTGACGGAACACACGTCGAGTGCTGTAAACGCGGTATTTATTATAGTGATCGGAGTGTTCACCAAGTGTCAAATATAGATTATACAGGGGTAATTATAATGATAATTGATATAATAACGTTAGCGCAGGAACGAGCGACGTTCTGCTCAATATTTGCTCCTTTTATGATGTCTAACAGAAAAAACGCATCATAGGTACCGATTTGTAATCTGTACAAATTGTAATAAATTATAATGAACCGTAAACATGGCATATCATATTATTGGTACGCATCACTGAGCGTATATTTTACATCACTATTAATTTCGTTTCTTTATATTATACGTGCAGAACTTCTCATCAAGGAATGAGATCAATTCAGATGCTGGGTAAGTACATTTTACTCTTTATGCTCTCTTACTACGTTTTATTATTCTTCAATGTAATTATTGTATTTATCTGTATATATTTTACTGCCACTTTCATATTTTATATAGCATATTTCATATAGCACTCGTATTTCACAGCGCGGGAAACACTTGGAATCGGAGAGCAACTGGTATAATTTCAGGCTTATGTGCTCTTAAAACTAAGTCTTAATTCAGAAAATGCTTTCAAACTTTGATACCTTCAAAGCGAGTTAATATTGATCCATCCATTTCACGCGAAGTGAAAGTACGCACGTATTTGCACAAAGTACTCTTAGTATCTTAGACCGGCTTAGCATAAAAATAATTATTATCCGGCTGCATCAGTACATCTCTCTCTCTCTCTCTCTCTCTCTCTCTCTCTCTCTCTCTCTCTCTCTCTCTTCCTCCTCTTCTTTCTCCTTTTCTTTGAAAATGTTTCTGTATTCCTGCTTTCGCGTTCGTATACGAAGGCGTACCTTCCTATAAGAACGTTTTAATCTTTATGATTATCCATGTCAATTCTACGGGAGGATTCTAATTGAACAATCTCAGTTCGGATCGAAATGCTTGACATTTAAAAGCACTTCTCCTTCATCAAACGAAAGTGCGCGAAGTCTTGTTCATTATGCAATATGTTAATGCCTGGGCTATCTGGTCAGTTTTAGGGTTTTCCAAATTGAGAAATTCATGAATGTTCTTAATGCTTATATTTAAAATTCAAAAACAAAATCAAGTAAGGAGAAATGAAAATGATAAACTTTTGTCTTTTTAAACATCACGAAGTACGTGGCGTAATTCTAATATTTTAAAGTGAATTTCTGTTTCCCAAGAATTTTACTATACATGTACTCTTCTAAAGAGACGATTACCGAAGCGAAGCGAGTACTTGAGAAGTCTTGCTAAATACCGAATAGAATTTTACCGATGAAGAGGAAAAAGTAAAGAAGGACGGGTGGAGAAAAGTAGCAAGAGTCATGAAAATAGTTGGATTAGCTACTTCGGGAAGGGATTGGCAAATTGCAGGAATTGCAGGAAACGTCTTATAAGCGTTTCCACCGATAAATTAGATCGCTCGTAATTCCGCCTCACCGCGGAACGAGATATATTGTCCGTATATGACGATGTACCGGTACGCGTGGCACTACGGTAGTAGAGAAGACGAAAACGTAATTGCGATCGCCGTGAAATTGACATTAATTAAACGCGTAAGAGGGAATGTAACGAGGCCAGGTAAGCCATTCGATCCGTTTGGTTTGCAGCCGAAATTAAAACTCTGCTACATGTAGTATGTGTCGCACGTGTCTGACTTGCTACACGTACAGTTCTCTTTAACGTTGCATAGCTCTCGCAAAGGCCTTGATTCAAACCACTTATTCCAACGCCCCAATATCTTATCGCCTCGCTTATTCGAATTACGTTTCCTACGTGTTACACGTACGACATATTTTAATAATGTAAGAAAGAGACAAGAAAATTTGTATACGTGTTCAAAATCGATTTAAATATATATTTATAAAATTATTACAATTGATATGTAGCGATAAAATAGAAATTTAAAATTTATAAAATTAATAAAAAATCCATTCGTTTCTCCGAATGAATGGATTCTATGAAAAAAAGAGGACTTGCTTTTTAAATATATTGCTATAAAGAGGAAACATAATAATTATTGAACGATCATTTTTATGTGAGGTTTGAATTACAATAATACGATTAATCAATTTGATTGTTACAATAATAGAATATCTCGAAACTTGAGCAAGGATTGTGTTCTCGTAGCTTAATATATAATCTACATTGATAAACTGAATAGAGAGAGTTTATTACACCTCGGGCATTCTATCCCGATAATTGAAGAATTAATACCTCTCCAAGGGTATTAAGGACAACCGCGAAGCAGGTCTTATCGTAAAGCTTTGGACATCTTATCCGGTGAAAGTTTATACCGAACTAAAACTATCTATTACTCTTAAAGTTCCCTGAATCGTGTTCCACAGAGGAAAAGAAAAAGAAGAAGACGACGAGAAAAAGACAAAGAGAAGCAGAGGAAAACTGCAGATCGCCATTCCGATACTTAATCCATTCTACTACGATGCATCAAATTACTTTTAAGCGAATCTAAAAGCCTTATTTCCTAAGAATATCTTGTTCTTCGCGACATATCATTACATTTGCAATGATAGATATTATTGTAACATTTACATCATTCCGTTGTAGATTATATATTTCGTCAAAATCATTATGTTAAAATAATAATCAATAATAAAATTTTAATGCAGATTATAATGGCTCTTAAAAAAAAATTTATTTCCATGATATCACGGTCAAATTTTTTTTGTAAATATATCATAAATGCATATTTCAACTGGTAGAAATTTCATGCATTTTTTTGAACAGTTATTGAATAATTATTGCGCCTGTTTAATAACTACAAAATATGTAAAATTAAAGAATTCCAATCAAGATTTAATTTTTAATGCTTTATGCTTTGCAGTTAATGCGCACAAAACATGTGAAAAATCTGAACTATATTTCTGAATAAAAACAAACAAATAAATGAACTACACTAGTAATTTAATTAATAATAATCTATTAATGTTAGACAATAACTGAGTAGATATCTACACAGTTTGTACTTATTTTTATCAGGAAAATGTTTCCACTAAATACTCTTGTCGTTGTTTTTCTTCATTTTTAATGCAATATTGTTACAATGTGAATACAGTACTAAACAGTAATTGGATGAATATCCAATAAAACTGCATACATTTATACCAGGGAAACGCATGCGTTATTAATCTTTTATACATATAACTATTATATTCGCCAATAAATGCAATCAGATAAACAAACACATGGGAATAACAGTTTCGCCGGAGCATCTAAAAATTTAGCTAAATACAAATTTGAAAATAATTTTAGACCATCAACATAATTATGTACGCTCAAGCTGGTTACTAAAATATCAAAATTTTTTACAGTATTGCTCATTACGTTTAAATTTTTTACATAAATATTTTGATGGTTCAACAAAATTATAAATTTTCAGAATTTACTTAATTAAATTTTTAGATATTTTAGCAAAAATCATTCTTTCCGTGCTTGCATCTACTTGCAAATTATTGTGGCCTACATGTACACTGAAACAAAGCTGACGTCAATTTATTTCGTAATATTTCAAATACACATGGGAAATGTCGAAAGACATCGTGCCATCTCGTTAACGATTTCTGCAATTCAAGCACGCTTCCAGTAACCGGATGCATCAAAATCCGTAACCAGCGACGATAGCTGCCGTTCGTTACATTCGCGTTAGTTATCTCCTAGCGAGTGGTTTCGTCCAATTAAAGTCTCGTAACAAGAGCAACTAAAGAATATAAATCACAGCGTTTATAGTGAAAAAATTCCACAATGTTGAAGTATCTTAAAAAGGTATCTTCGTCAACGCTTCAATTGATATATAATTGATATATATTAACTACTCGGCTTCAATGCAGCTTTATATTAAAACAAATATGTAATTTATTAGATAGAGGTGATTCTTTTTTAATCTCTTATCAATTGTTTCACAAGAGGCTGCCGCAACATAATTCCATACTTTGTACCGAAGTTCTAAGTCCCGTCAACAACACAACTTGAATTACTAGTTTAAATCCCGATCTAGCATGAGTCTTAGGTCAGACTTGGCTGAAACGTGAGTTTCTATTGGCGAAGTTTAGTCAAGTTAAAGAGATCCAGTCCACACTAGAACAAGGCGTTATGCACTTGAACCGTGATAGAATAACACGTAACAATGAGAGACGTGAGAGGAGATGACTTAGCATATCATTCTCACAAGTAAGCAATAGATGAAATGGTACATAAGTAAATAATTTGATTTGCCTCTCTAGCGGCTTCATTTAAAATTCAGTGTCTAAATCGATGTACAAAATAATGAGTACAAATTGCATTAATTAATGCAGTAAGAAAACCCTACAATAACATAAATAATTTCGAAATTGCATGTAATGAATAAACCGAGTTAAATATTAATCGAGGACGTAAATATATGTATTTTATTATTTTATCAGAAAAATTAATAAATATTATTAATAATTTATAAATATTATTATTTTATGAATTTATCAGAATAAATAGATTAATAAAC